TTCTGCTGGCTTCTGCTCACGATCATTATTCATAACTCGATGTCCGTTTCTGGCATTCTGGGCCTCTGGTGGAGATAGACAGAGAAAAAGGAGGATGAGGTGGATTGAGTAGAGGAGAAGGTGAAGGAGAAGGAGGTACTGAGAAGGGGTGGGCTGACAACTGTCGGCAACGAAGCAAACGATGGGGGGCAGCCAGTGACCGGGCCATCCCATCCACACCGGCCATCTCAACCCCTCGGTCTATTCCATTCCGGGGGTGCTATTTGTTAGAGTACTGTAGCGGGAAAATTTCTTTGTGGCTTGCTATATCTCACCATTGGTTTTTTTTACTATTTTAAAGATACGCTAAAGTTCCTGGAGAAAGTTGCTGTATTTTTTGCCTCCTACCCCTCAACAAGGATTGCCTGATGCTATGCCTTTTTGCAAGACTTCTTCCTACACGGAAATCACTACAGAAAGTATTTTGTAGCCTTAATTCAAAGAAAAACATCGTCTATTCTATGCAATTTTTATGTAGGTACTGTCAATAATTTGCATTTCCGGAAACCAAATTTTGTTGGATTTTCGAATTTTTAAGATCTCTACCATTAAAAATACCGCCCTTTACTTTCATCTCTCTTTCAATCCATGATTTGGTATCGAAATTGTAAGAAAAATTATTGGCATTTCCGGAAACCAAGCCTGAATTATCTCCCCAGCTAGAAGAATTCTACCATAAAAGTATCCTGTTTGTAATTTCATCACCTCGCCCCGCTTCAATCAATCTCCGCTCTTATTGTTAATCCTCCACCAATCCACTCTCCCTAAAGGGCACTCATATCCGCGTCTCCACCTCCTCCTCCTCTCCTCATCCTCCCCCAAGGTGAAACTATCCAAGTACTGTAGCGCCCTTGCGAGCGTGGCCGCCCGTCTCGTGCCATGGTGGATAATCTGCGGGTGAAAATGGATATGCCTTGAAAGTGTCACTTTGCCACCACCCGCCGACTCCTCCCAGGCGGCTCCTGGTACCCCGACGTTGAGCAAGAGGGGGGGATTGTTGAGTGACCTGTTAGCTTAGAGGTTTTCGAAGTCACCGAAACCCCGAGGGGTAGTCGGAACTTTTTGAATACAAGGATATAAACCTCGCATAAAACAGTCTTTTACACCTTTCGTCATAAAACCAGCATTAAAAAGATCTCATTTATCGTTATCGTTGTACAAGTCGTTAGTGCCGATCTAAGACAATTCTCACTATTTAGCGCTCTACCAAATTCTACTCCAAACAATCCTATACAACAACCTATCCCTCAAAGTAGCCAGCCATCCCCTTCTTGCTCCCCTCATCCCTTCCACCCTCTCCAAGACCTTCTGGCTCGTGAAAGTAAAAAAGTGCGCCGGGCCCGACGTGGCCTAACATTTGGCTCGTTGCATTTCTCGACAGGGCCCTGCGCAATTTGATTCTCGCGCACTGCCAGAAACCACATGGTCCGGGGAGGGGTGAGCCTCCCGCATCGTGAACACCACACAAAACCCGCGAGTAAAAGCGGAAAGTTTGGGTTGAAGCGGCTGATTCACCGTAGTTTGGAGTAAAGCGAAGTTTGAGACTTTTAGTAAAAACAAGAGCATAAGCTGATTTATCGTAGTTTTGAGTAAAAGTCTGAAAATTGTGATAAAAGTATGAAGAAACCGATAAGATAGTTCCAAGAAAGCTATAGTTCGAAACCCGGCTTAAGAATATAGCAAATAAACTTGCTAACCTTCCCAGATAAACTTACGGTCACTCCACGTCAAACACATCCGCTTCCGAATTTGAATCTGCATCAAATCCGTGAGCTCATCTCAAAAATCCCTAGATGACCGCGGCAGGTTGTCCACATTTGGCCCCTCCCCAGGCGATCTGTTTCTCCTCCTTTTCGAAGAGGGCTGAAGAGCATTGTTTTGTCGGGTTACCAGATTGTCACTTGTGACAGCCCTGGCCGGGCGCGCCCCTACTCTCCAAATAACGCGCCTTTTTTTTGGACTAGATTGAGCCCTAATTTCGCTGGGTGAGGATTTTTTAGTGCTTGTGCTGGTGCTGGATGATTGTTTTGCTATTACTTGCTTGTGTTTTTTGGTGGTGGTAGGTTGGGGATAGTCTATATGGAGCTATTAAATGTTTCTTGATCTTGCGACAGTTGATAATCGTCTTTAAAATATGCAAAATCATTTTATTCTTCACGTCCTCACCCAAAATTTCCGAGTATTGCCGCCTGATAAGGCAGTTGCTAGACAACGTCTCCACAGAACTCGTTTCCAGTTGATACCGATCCCCCCTTCCGTTGGAGTCGTATCCTTCCTGATTGACAATCCCGACCACGGCCATTGCCGAAAACATTCTCAGAGGACACTTTCCGTTTCTCTACCCCATTCCCGACAACCGGGGCCCCCTAAGTTTCACGACAGCCAAAATTCCTAGTCAATAGAACCTTATTCCTTTCCTGCTCCATTTTCTCGCATTGCTTCACCTTACAAAAAAGCTTGCTATAATCGCTTGAATAACTTCAGGCGATGACGGTAGAGGCAACCGAGAGCGCCGTCCCTCACCTCGTCCTCACTGAAGATATCAAAGACTTATCACGACTACTCGACGAGACAAAAGAGGTCCGACTAGAAGCCGACAAATTACTCGACCCGCTCCCTGAAATGCCGATGGGTGGTGGCCTTCCTTTGGCTCTTCATCATGATATCTACGCCACAATCAAGCACGAAATTCCCTCGACAGCTGATGATGATGTCAAGAATATCCCTACTGGGGTCCCTGAGGTGAGCTAGGTGGTGGGATAACATCCGCATGCTTTATTTCTTTACTAGCAACCGTTTTCCACCCCCTATTATGTTTTCGCGGAATTCTTACCCTTCCTCAAAAAAGGTGAAGCTTGACCACCAGCACTGCGACTAATCCACTTTTTGTTCGCTTTCTAATCCGACACCAACCTGTCCCATTGAGCAACTCTGTTACAATCCTATCATTTAATTGCATGGCCATCATTTGGTCTTGCCGCTTGGTTAATTCCTCTTTTTTGCTGTTCTTGATCTTTCTTGGTTTGCATGCTATTTGGGTGGTTATCCGTACCAATTTCCTGATTTCAGGTAGCGAACAACAGATGTTATTCGGTGTTAATAATTTTGCGCTGAACGTACCGTACTGTGCGCCTGGTGGGACGAACAATAATAATGAGATTGTCAACCATAATCACAGCAAAAATGGTGAGAATTTTTAGGGTTTTTTCATAGTTTTATAAGCCGCAAAACACGAGTATATACAGTAGATAAATATTGTTAATTTATAGGTCGAATCCTTACTGCTGATCGGAAAAGGCCCTATCCATGCTCTCGTTGTACATCCCGATTCGGGTCGAAAATGGAACTGGAAGAACATCAAAACAGCCATGCCGGTCAGAAGCCCTTTGAATGTGATGTAAGCGTTACAAATTTCACACTTTATTCCTATGCAAACCCTTTAAAAATTCAAAGCATAAAAGTATTTTTTAGGTCTGCAAAGCTCGATTCAACCGGCGCTCAACGTTATGGAATCACAAACGAATCCATTCGGACGCGAAACCTTGTCTGTACCGTATGCCAAATGACGTTTAAATGGAAGAATTCGCTGAAATGTCACAAGGTCAGGAATGGTGGAATGGCTTTGACGTTAGTGCTTTTAGGAGATGCATTTGCGGAAAATGAATCGTCAACGGTGTTGGACAACGATTTGCGGCAGCTAACATATGCAACAGCTGCCAAGAAACGATTGGTAAGTTCATATTTTTATAGAGTTGGTATCAACCATTAAAGCTCCATGTATGAAATATTTATTTTTAGATCCAAATGGTTGAAGAAGGGCAGCTTGATGGTTCTGGAAGTGCCGTATCATCAGCCATCCATTCTCAGCCCCTCATCACCACCGCGTCACCGAAAAAGAAGAATGGAAAGGTAAAAACATTAATCAGTCCCTTAGATTCTATTAGAATCAGAATCAACATTCGACGAGTGGAGGCTGATCAACATCCAGACATCACTGAGCTCGGCCTCAAGGGATGGATGAACACCAACATGTTATCCCAAAATGACCATCCTCTCTGACTTGGACCCATCCTCACTTGATACCCTCGTCCAGCAGAGTAACCAGAATTTGTTGTGCACTTGTGCAGGTAAGACATATCATTCAAAGCTTTATTAACACGTCTCTAAATTCGCATACGTATTTCTATTATACATATGTAATTTTAGCACTGATATGGATAACTGCCGAAACACGAACATTCTTGGTTCGATGGACGACACAAACGCGATGCTCTCCAACCCCCTATTCAGTGATATGAAACCGGATTTGAATCTTCTCCACCACCACCAAGATATTCAGGTACCAACCGTCTCAATTATCATCTTAATCCCGATATTTTAGTTCCAATACCCAAATAATCTGCTGTCCTCCTCGATGTCGGCCCATTCTCCTCTCAATGTACAGTTGCCGTTGAATTTAATGAATATCAATCGAATCAACGGCTTGCACAGTCCCCAACAATTGGTAAGCCGTGAAAATTAGCTGATTATAATTAACAAAATTTCCAGCCTTCCGTCCATCATCTCTCCTCTACCTCTCTGGCTAATGGTGTCGTCCTCCCAATGGAATACCCCTCCCACGATTCTATCGTTTCTTCTGTTGGCCATCCACAATATATCGTCACCCCGCCATCTGATATTATGCTCTCACATTCGGCCCTCGCCTATCCATCTCAAGGGGTGGGTGCACTATCGAAGAAAATGCGAGAATTTTTCGAAAGGAACTTCTTGCCACCTGTAAGCATTGCACTAAAAAAACAAAATTATATACCATCATATTAAGGGATTCCCATTGCAGCTGATGGACAATGGATGCAATCCTCTACCCGGATGCTCCGAATACGCGCCAAATTTCGACTACGGCAGCGGGTTGATGGGTGGTCAATATCAGTTGAGTGATGATCAAATGAGTCTGGCTCCTCAGCAACAAGATTCGATTCTCAATGATGAGACCAAATGCCTACCGTATGATCAATGGTAGTTTTAAATATCATATCCCCCAATCCACCTTGTGTCATTAGGGCTTTCACTTTTGCATATTTTTAATTCTCAGAATGCTCAATCCCTTGGAAACAGTACCTTAAGAATACGCATATTGTGCCCTGACTAGTTTTTGCCATTTATTACTTTCAGATGTTTTTTTTCTTCATTTCCAGTCCCCATATTGTCTTGCCATATTCTATGGGCCCTAGTCCAAGTTATCGGTTCTTTACCCCTCTAGCTAGGTCGTGCCATCCTCATCTTATAAAGCGACAAATCTTAGCTTTATCTTTCCCAATTTTCCAAAAATACATCGTTGTCCACCCCCTTCTCACAATGTCATTCCTTCTCCCCGACCGGCCGCTAAAAATGCCGCCCTGGAATTCAGGTGGCCATCCAAAAATGATCATCTCTTCCCCGAAGAGCATTTGCTGATCTCTCTGCTTGTTGATGTTCAGCCTTTCATTTCAATTTCCCGTCTGTTCTCCCCTTTTTTTGCTGCAACAAATACCCTACCATAATTGTGCCCTTATCCGTTGCCAATTTGTCGCCTCATTCATTCAGAACTGTGCCTTGAATGTGTAATAAAGTGTGCCTTTATTGAGCGAAGTGTTTTAATAAATCTATTGCTACTAATAACATGCACTATTGGAAGTTTTATAAATTCTAGCCAGAAAATTAACTTTAAACAACTTTTTTGCTCATAAAAAATACAATTTGCATAACTACAATTATTTATTGACTCCTTTAAAAATACCCTTTACACGGTAATTTACTATAGTTGCAGACCCAACGAACTCTTAGCCAGTTTTGAAATAAAATTCGAAACATCCTGAAGTTGATCCGTCGGATTTTTGCGCAACGCTATCATATAACGATTCAGCTCCTCCTTGTCGGCATATACATTATTCCCAACATCAACGATCGAATTCAGGATTGGATAACCTTAAAGACCACTTATTCTCCCTTAACGCTTCCCCTTTACCTGTAATAATGTCCATCGGCTTCTCCTCGCCATTATGCTCCAGGTTAGCCTCAAAGCACCCCCTTCGGTCCGTTATCAAATTCTTATTTGCACTATCGTCGACGGATATGGCCAAAAACCCATTCCTTGATCTCCTCGTGCTCTGGGCCCTGTGAACGAAGTTATTTAAGAGTTGAAAGTCAACTCACGTCCAGAAATGTTTTCTCGGGGATCGTGACCTCGGTTGGGATTTCGGTTCCTTCAAATGGCGCAAAATCGACCATATCTGGGGAGCCGTCTTCAATAGCCTCGTGCAAATCAAGGTAATGGTTAAGAAATAGGAAAGCGCATCCCTTCATATTCCGTTCCGACATCCTATATTTATGAATTCGCCGTTCTAATGACATCTATTCTTACCCTCGCCAAAATTCCGGCTTCGTAGAAAACACGATCTGGGGGTAACACATCGGAATACCGTAGCAACGCAATTGATAGCTTCAGCCTGGTTCTCTTCGATTCTAGTTCATCGGCAATTAACATTGCGTTCCGAATACACATCATATGTAGCGCCAACATTTGCCGGTAGAAGAACTAAAGCTGTTCCAAAATTTTCTGGGACAACCAACATCGAAATGCCGACTATTCCCATTTTCGAGACCACGAACAATTTGCTGATAAACATTTCGAATCAAGGCAATCCGCTCGTATTCCTCTTCTGGGTTGTCGGTTCGAACACCAACGACCTCAATTTAAAACATAAAGCGTGTTAGCTCTTCGACTTACAGAGTCGAACAACGTCTTATAAATATTGAAGTTTTCTTCGTTTCCAGCAGCCCCATATCTTTCAAAGAGCTTTGAGGCTTTCACGTAATCACCCTAAAATACGATGTTGTTTTTGTTTTTGTATTTTGGGCTTACTTCGGAAATAAGATGCGACGCATACATTGCAACATATTTGTCGAGGAGCGGTCCATGCTAGAATTCATAATTAAAACGCAAGCGGGTTAATTCCCTACTTTTTGCTGTTTAGCCGTTTCGATGGCCTTTTCCCCATTGCCCTCTCTCGATTAGTAAATCGATAGCGGAAATAGCATCGACATCTAGAAGAATAATTAAATTTATTTTCTCGACCCACCGATCAATTCCCCCAAGCGACCTTCACTCTTCAGACTATTCTTATAAGCTGCATCAATTTCCGCCAATGCTTCGGGCATGAATTCATTTGCGACCTAATCTCTTTTTCAAAAATAAAAAAATTGTTTAACCTGTCTGGCCTTGCCCCATTGTTGAGCCTCGCACAACGCGTGGATCGCATCAGCTGTATTTCCAAGAGCCAGCAACAGCTCCGCTGTTTTCTCATGCTCCCCAACCTATAACTTGCCATTCGACAATTTTACTCAATTCTCACCTCGCTGAGTCTTTGTAAAATCTCGCTAAATATTTCCTGTCCATTCCCGCCAATCAGGAACCTCATCCCGATATCGGCAGCTTTTAGTGCGCTCTGTCTAACAAGCTCGGTGTCTGTTGTCATTTCAGGGAGATCTAAATGGTTACAAGCCATCATAGCTAGGCTTACTTTCAAAAACGCTTGAACTGCTCGATAGTATTCTCCATTTTGCTCCCATTCACGGCCTTGGGCAAGGAATGACTCGACTCCGCGAGCTCCACTTCGCAGCTCTTCTTTGTCAAATTCTTCCTAAAAATTTCATTGTTGTTTTTATTGAACCAAATCCGTACTTGTAAGGATGATAGCTGATTTGGTAGATATTCCTTGGCAATCCTTAACGCGTCAGGCCACATTGCCTGCTCTTTGAAATATCTCATAATGATGTCAGGACGACCAGCACTAAACGAAAAAATGCTAAGGGATCTCTGAACTACCGTAACAAGAAGCTCTCAGCTCTTTGGTGGTCACCAGATTCTAGAGCTTTTCGAGCTTCCCCAGTATAGACATCCGCCAGACTGTTTGGTGCGTGTTCCCTTTAATAAATTGTTTTACTGCCGCAAAAATGCTCACTTGGCAATCTTTTCCGCATTTGTCCAATCCTGATCGTGAATAAACATTGCAACCGCTTCTTCGGCCTTTCCGCCCTAAATATACTTTTTTGAAACCGATGGGTTTTCAATACCTCAATGTAATGTTTTGCTGCTTCTTCTAACCGTCCTTCTTCCTCCATTTGCACCGCGATACGAGTATGAACCTAGTTTTCTACTTGTCAAAATTCATCCCATTCTTTAACCTCTGGTAATCTTTCCTTCATTCCCAGCTTTGCCAGATCAAACGCGAAGTCGAACGCTCTATAAAGATAGGTTAAAACTCAACGATATTGCATACCCATTCTCGATGGCAAAATCAATCGCATCACTGAGCATATTGAATCGAGTTAGGAGCTTCACAGCCGCATCACCGCCCAAACTCTTAGCCCAGAGAAAGCCGACCTAAAGAATCAATTCTGAAAAGTCTTTATTCGCACTTGTTTCTGGATTGTATCTCCTCCCTCCGTCTTTGCCAACCGGTACGCGTCGCTCCATTGTTCAGCTTTCCTAGTTCATGCTTTATTTTTGTTGATAGAAGCCCACCTGTACATATCTATTGCCATTTTGTATTCGCCGGCTTTCAAAAATTCTTCCTCCGCACCCTTGAGATCGCCAGCAGCTTCGTGTTCTTCGCCTAGCCGCTTATGGGTTTCCTGCAAAATAAACTAGCTCTTATAATAACGATACAATAAAGTCCCGGAAATGATCTTCCAAAAAGCAAAAGTTTGCCGCCAGCAGGGGTCGAACCTGCGACCTTGGGCTTATTAGACCCACGCTCTAACCAACTGAGCTATGGCGGCACGGCGGTGGGTGAGCGGGGGAGGTTTGTCTCTCGGGGGCAGCCATTCCGAGAGAGGGGAGGGCCGGCAGAGAGAGGCCAAAGGGAAGAGGGGTCTCGGCAAGGAAAAGGGCTAGCCAGGATTTCAAAAATTGGAACGGTTTGTTACAAAACCAAATCGATATTTGAAAATAGAATTTACATATTTTTTTACTTACCAGTAAATGCTCCGAGTGATATTGCCCAACAAGTCGTACAACCTCTTCATTACGATTCGCCTTTTTATACATCTGGATAGCTTTGTTAGACATTCCAATTGATATGTAAAGCTAAAACAACCCGATTTATGAATTTCATTCCCCCAAACCTGCTCGGCTTCAGCCAATCTTCCTTGTTCCTCCAATTCTTCAGCCTTTCTATCATACATTTGAGCCGTTTCTTCCTTTCCGAGGAACTCTTCTGATAGCTGAAATTTTTAATTTGATTTTTGCACTTATCTCGAACCCTGTATGCATCGGCCCATCTGCTGCCTTTGATATACATGGCAATCGCTTGTTTCTGTAGATTTGCTTCGATGAAAAGACGTTCTGCGCGCTAAATAGTTTTTAGTTTCCTCTATTCCATTCCACTCACATCAAATTCCCCAATAGAAGCATAGTGCTCGGCAATTTGTCCGTAGTACGTATGAGATCGTTCGGTATCTTGAATAACATCGACGATCTATTAGAAAAGGTTCCTTCCGATTATCTAATGCCAACCTGAACAGCTTTGCTCCATTCTTTGGCTTTAATCGCCGCTTCAACCGCTTTTTCCGTGCAATTCGCTTCTAAAAGGTTTTAGTGTTCTTTTAATTCAAAATCTGTTCGAAAGTTTAAGTCTAATTTTCCTACCCAAAAAGTGATTGATGGCAGCTTCTGGTTGTCCCTGAGCGACCAAATGATTTCCCCATTCTTCTTCAATCCCAACCACACGATCCGGAAATGCAAATCTAGCAATCTAAATTCGTATTTAGGGTGCCTAAAATAGAGATCGTTACCTGGATAGCTTTTTTGATAAGCTTTCCCCTCAACAAAACTTTCAAAGGCTTTCTCAAAGTCTTTTGTTTTCTCGTAGAGATCCCCAGCCTGAAACTCAATTCAGGATACTCGAAGCTGCCCTACCTTCTCAAAGAACCGATTTTTCAGCAAGGCTGTCGCAATATCTTCAACCATAATACTGTCTCTTATTAGATCTTCTTTGCTTGTCAATACAGCCAATGCCTTTGTGGGTTGGTTGGATTTGAGGAAAAGTTGGATGGCAGAGCGCGGGTCTCCCTCCGTAGCTTTCAGCTAAATCGTCGGTTCGAACATATTTAACAAAGATCAACCTCAGCCACTTTAGCTTCTTGTCCGGTTTCCGCTAATGCTCTATGATAGCTAATTCGCAGTTGTTCATAGCCAGGATAGTTCTAAGCATTTTTTTATAAAGAAATATGCTTTCTTACCCTAGCTCTAGCAAGCTCCAACGCGTCTTCCCATTTATGCAACGATTTATACATACCGATTGCTTCATCAATATCGTTCTATTAAAATTGTTTTAGATTTTGTTGTACAGCTCTACCTGCTCCAAGTAGATTTTCTCTGCTTCTTTAAATTTTTTGTTAATCCTAGCAATATTTGCTCGGACTTTGTAATGGGCCGACCCATCCCCACCAATGCTCTTCGCAGCATCTTTCGCCATTTTTATGGTTTCCTAAAAACATGAGCTATAGTTATTTTTTAGTACCATCATAAAATTAGTCCTCGGCACATCGCCCATAGCAGCAAAGCATCTTTGAGCTATCAAAAGCTTTCCTTGCTCCATAGCCAAATAAGCTACTCTACGCCACATCAAATACCTATTAGTTTGATTCTAACTTTGAGAACGAATTATTACGCTTCATCCTGATCTGGTGTTTTCTCGAGAAAAGAAACAGCTCTTTCAAAGTCTGAGCTTTCCAACGCAGCCGCAAATTCAATTTGGGTATTGTCCAGTTCGTATGCGACTTTTGCTTTTGATTCCTAAACATATTAGATACTTGGTTTTCGTTGATTTTTTACCTGCACTATCACTTCCGTTCGATCATTATCCCTCAAAACCGCTTCGATTTCCCCGCGAACTTGTGTGATCGTCGGTTGATTTGGGTATTCAGGATTGTACCTAAAGACATCCTACTATATATAAAAAAAATAGTGTCTGTGTGTATGTGTGTGTGTTGCCACTTTGCATGCAACTTCCGTCACCATGTCCGGGGGATATCTCGATAGGGGATAAATTTTATGGCACGTATGATACCTCGGTAGGTGCGTAATGGCTCTGGGATGGCTGAACGCCTATCAGATTTTTAAAAATAAGCTATTTTCAACATTAAATTTAAGTTTTTGTAAAATTTTCGGCAAGCCTCTTTGTTAGGAAAAATCTGCATAAACCGGAAGTGGCAAGAGCCTATATAATCAGCTAGAGGGTGCGGTTTTGTATTTTTCTCATCGAAATTCGAGAGACGAATGCAGAGTGAGGAATGTTCAGGGGTTAGACGGGGCCAGGGTTGAAAAGTCTCGAAGCGGCTTTTCAACCCTGGTCTCGCTTAATTATTGGTCAAATCCCATACCAAACATATAAATTTTCTCCTGATTGGGCAACGATGACATCGCTATTTGGCACCCATTGAACGTAGGAACAAAAATTGAGCAGACTACTCCGGACATCTGTTTCCAAATCAACGAGTGTTACTCGGGAGCGTTTATCACGGAAAAGTAAGCGACTTCCACCTTCGCTCAGCTTAAATTTGGTTTTATTAATTTACAACGTTCAATTACCTCCAGCCAATCTATTTTGTTCTTATGGTCAATTAATGCTTCCTGCTGAGAAGTCAGAAAATTATCTAAATTGTTGCGTTTGGACTATTGGGGTTTGCTTACAGATCGTGATTGTAGTTGGGTCGGCCAAATATGCAATCTTTTTGATAGGCTTTCCATGTTTATCAGGGTGAACTTGTAGGCTGAGTAGATGCTTTGATCCCAATTCAGTTCGAACCCATCCTAATGCTCCTAAAAATCAGTCTACATTTTGGTATTTGTTTGATACCGTCAATGCCATATTCCACTACTGTAACTTCTCCCGCATTTACAATTACCGCAACATTTGGGTAGTCAAAATAGAATCTAAAGTTTATTCTGTATCATAATACGTGAAAATACCTACTTTTCATTTCCCCCGCTAAACCAATCGATTTCCGAAGATCTTCCGCTCTGCGTATCCGCAATGATCAAGGTACTAGCCGTATAGGCCAAAACAAATTGATCTTTGCCAGTCACCTGAGTATTAATTAATTATCAAATCTACAGGGTGTCCCAAAAAAAACGACCCATCTGGCATTTCGCCGTGTTACATCCAATCGGTCCCGAATTTGAACCAGAGGTGTATCAGACCGTAAATAACAACAATCCCGACTTATAGCCCTGTTGCTATAGTAGTTCTCGAGTTATGGCAAAAACAAACTTTGTTTTCGATTTTTCATAGGGTTTGCGTGGAATTGGACCCCCTAAACATTTAGTGAGAATCACCCGGTAGGCCTTCTTTACCGTGTAAGAAATTTTTCCAAATAGTAAAATTAATTAAATTAGCTTTGGTTTAAGGATTGATATAACGCAAAACTACCCCAGTTCATAAGCGAAGGGATTCGGGATGCAGCCGGGAAGACGATGCAAATCGAAGTGCAAATTCCAAAATATAGGCCGAAAAAACCGTTCAAGAATTCCGGGAAAACCAGTATTTTCGTTATAACTCGAGAACGACTGTAGTTACAGGGCCATAAGTCAGGATTGTTGTTATTTAAAGTCTGATACACCTCTGGTCCAAAAGGGGGATAGGTTGGTTTAAAAACGGAGAAAGGCCGGCGGGGGCGTTTTTGGGACACCCTGTATGGTTTGATTTTTCACCTTAATATCGTCAATTTGTAGTCCCTTATTTGAAATGATGCTCGTTTTCGATTCATTTGAAATGTCCCTCAAAATGACGTGCGAAGGCGCCACATGGGTCGTTTCAAAACGTGACCGAATTATTCCTTTCTTCAATGAGCAGTCAATCGTTGTAGCGCCACCGTTTAAGGTTCCCTATAACACTATTTTTTGAGTCTATAAATTAAAATCTACCGAATACACAGCACTCCCATCGCCCTTCCATTCCAAGGCTGTTATCGTGTACATATTGTTAATCACCAAAGGCGTGTCTTCATCCCAGGCACCACGACGAAGATTATACGAAAATAATCGCAACCTAATATCCTTATTAGCATATATTGATTCGTCTTACTTGTTATAAGACCCAACCACCGCATTTGTTCCTGTCGGATCACGACAAATCGCCGAAAACTCCTTTTCATGCTCATCGGAAAAATCCCATTGCTGTTGCACGACACCGTTCTCAGTGTAAGCGTAGATTCTACATTTATATGTCTATTTTTATGTTGTGATGATTTTAGTACCTCCTATCGCTCCCCGCCACCAATAACCCATGGGCTGTAAACACGAGAGAGTATGGGGTGACTTGATGGGTGCAGATTTTGCTCTAAACCTCAAGATTCTACACTCGGGAGCATAGGGGGGTCACCTGGGATTTGCTGGCAAAGATGAAGAGGATGATACTTCCATCAAAATGTCCGGACACAAATGCTGTCTTTCTTGGGCTAAATGGGAATTGATAAGTAATAGGGAAATTCTTAGGAACTCGAAAATCAGAATCACGAATTTCAGAACTCCGAAATCAAGATAAGCTGAATACAAAGCCAGATTTTCGTAGCTTTCAAAAATCGACAAGCCTATTGAAATTATAAAATCTTGAAAATTCGCGGTTTCTGATCCCCTGGAGACTTTGAAATTTAATATTGTAATTTTGGAGATTCTGATTTTCGCCATTTCTCTAGTATGTCGAAGTAATATATAGCTTACTTTGTTGCCAATGAAACAACTGGTTGTTCCGTTTTGTAGAGCGATGAACATTTGTTGCTCTTGATCAATCCAATCCGAACTTTTCCGTCGGTCAACCCGATGAGAAGCTTGTCCTCGAATGGCCATGACAACGCGGATATGCTGGCTGTCTGCAGTAGTTTGTTGACGATCACTTTCTTTTCGGCCCTAAATTTGATGGAAGTTTTAAACGTTTTGAACTTGTCTACCATGATGCTCCGAGTTTATAAACATAGACGACATGATCAGATTGTCCGACGGCTAGTTGTGTAGAGTCTGGGCTGAAGCATACCGAACGGATGGCGTAGCTCTTTTTTCCAAACTGCAAAAATTGCAGTTAACAATTTTTTATAACGTTAATTATACCTTCGCATCAATAGCTTTAGTAGCGAAACGCTCGCGTTGTTCTCCTTTTTCGTCAAAAAGCACGATAGCTCGATCCGAGGTGGCAACGGCTACTTTCGAGCCGTTTGGGGTGGCTGCTATGGCACATACCCTAGCCGCACCCACCTGTAACATGATTTAATAGATGGAAAAATATTATTATTAGGATCCGTAGTAGTTCCAATATTGCAATGTAAGAACGTTGCTTGTCTCTGACTCCTTTCTGTTGCTTTTTCGTGTCTCTATAGAGTAATGAATTCATACCTGTTGCGGCAGAAGCTGTCCTTGATATTTCAACTTCATCCTATAAATTATTGAATAACCAAAAACAAAACAAAAACAATGAAGTTTCGAAACCACACAAAAATGAACATAATAACTTTGAAATTTTAGCCTAGTTCTGGCCCGCGAGAGATTAAAACTACAAAATTAAATACAATCTATTAGTGCGCATCAAAAATTAGACTAAAATTATTGTAAATTTAAGCACGACCTTTCGCAAGCCAAGATGTTCCACAAACCCCGCCACCCGCTGCTTTCCTTCCCCTCTGTGTGGTTGGACAATGTTTAGCACGCGTTGCCATGGTTACAAAAAATACTTTATCCAGTGTATATGCTTGAAAAACAGGGCAAAAAAAACCAAGCGAGATCAAGGTGATGCGGTTTTCAGAAGAAGTGTTTGACTATCTCTGAAGTAAAGCTGACAAGCTGACAACAGGGTTATCACATTAATGGGGAAGCACGGTCACCAAAAAAGAAATGAAATATACTGAATGGAAACAAGCAATTGGGTACGCAGTAATAATGAGAAAGTGTTTGTAGACTACCAAAGTGGAGTATGGCCGAGATCTCTGTGATGTTTCATTCCGATTGGGGTATCTGGGTCGTATTCGATTCTGAGGTTTTCTGGTGCGTCACCGTGGATAATAGTGCCAGCGCTTAGGTGGCCCTTTTCGTTGACTCCGACCTAAAATTAAAAGTTAATTTTTAGCCGTAATAATCGCATTTTAATGATAAAATTTCTAAGGACATTAATTGACAAAACTGTTAATATTAAAACAACAAACCACATACCATTTCTGACATTCTTCTTGATGGAGAGGTCATCCGCGAAATACTCCTCGAGCTAGAAATATTTTTAGAATTTTATAAAATTTATGTTTATATTTATATGTATATAGGTATGAAATAAGTAATCGATTTTAATGAAATGCTACCTAGTAGGCTCGTACGGCGCCTTATCTTCAAAAATTGGATCAAAAACCAATAAACCAGTCGACTGCTTGATCGGATCATCAAGGTCATAGTGCTAGAAAATTTAAATTACAATGCTAAAATACAATCTAACCTTCTTCAAGAACGCCACAAGCATTTTCGAGGGGTTATCATAGGCAATCTGATACGGTTGCACATCTTCTTCCTAAATTTTTTATGAAAAATGTTATTTTAACCATACCTCAAGCATTTTGTCGAATAATTCCTTGCCAATCCCCTTATTCCTTTCACCCTCACAAACGTAGAAATCCAATACACAAAGCATAGTTTCATTGAATAGGACGTCGTCCCGATTTCTCAGATATAAGCTTCTTCTGCCGACCTTCAACATGCCTTGGAATTCCGAGCGCTTCCTAAAGACGGTAAAAGAACTGAAATTAGAGCTTACTCTCCGGTTTTCTTCCAATGTAAATATACCCCCTGCGGGTCATCGGTGGCATTAATTCGATCGCAGCTTGTGATTGGGTTTTTCAGACATTGAGCCTAAAAGAACATTTATTGTAAATTTTGCGTGAAAAACCTTCGCTGAGCAGATTCCGAGTTTATTGATGACTTCATAGACCGGGTTGTTTCGCTTGCGGTCGAAGAAGGCAATTTCGCGTTGTGTGACATGCATTATTGGTTCTGGCCAGAGGCCGCCATCGAATACAACTTCTACCATTTCTTAAAATTTGTTATAGACATGGGTGTTTTAAGTCGGGGAAAAAATAGTAAGGAAAGGCAAATTTAGGTTTTTGAGGGCATTAGGACCAAGACAGGTACAAGGACAAAAAAAAAGAGAAAGAACGAAATAAAGAGAGAGAGCGAGAGAGAGAGAGAGGGAGAGAGAGAGAGAAAGAGCCACATCTTAAATGTCCATCATTAATGGAACAACATCTAAACCCTTGCAGAATTTATTGGGAAATTATAGAGAGAAAAATTGCAAGCCACAGTAGAATTAATAAAGTTTGCCGCAGATCAGCTGACGGACAGCCAACTTTGAGCGGCTTACTTCTCGGGTTGCTCGTCCCAAATAAGGCGAGCGCTCTGCCCGGTCAATAAATGGCGAGAGCCGTTGTTTATTCTTGGGTTTCAGCAGGGCCTGGAGGGCAGCAGAGGGCCCAACCCGAGGGCCCAACCAGTCGAAATGCGAGACTTTGACATCCCCTTGCTATTTAGTCGATGAAAAGTGGAAAAGAGAGGCTGGAGGGGGATGGGTGAAAAGTGGTGCGGAATATATGGGCAGGATGGGATTTAGAAATGCATGCACCAAAAAAGGGGGGACGGGGTGAGGAAGCGGAAGGGGGGGATTGTGGGACGGGGGAGTTTTTTGCGGGGTAGCGATACGGAATGGGGGGTGGTGGTGTTGAAATAATGGTTGGAGAGCAGCAAAAATGGGAGAGGGTGTGTTGACTAGAAACGGGTCGTTGGAGAGGGATGCAGGTGGTGTTGCATTTGAATAGATGATATTAATGGGAGGGCGGATGCATTCGGTTTTAAAGTTATTTAATATCTGCTTAGATCAGCGTCTTACGGTAAGTTATAGCCTTGACCTACAGAAACCTTGACATAAACGGGGCGTTTTTGCAAATTTTGAAATAGTTGAGCCCCTTTCCAATGCAAATTTTTAAGAGAGAGAGAGAGAGAGAGAGAGAGAGAGAGAGAGAGAGAGAGAGGGGGGGGGGTAATCGAGAGATAGCCAGCGAGAGAGTAAGATGAAAAAATGACCAAACAAAAGCAGCATCTGACGCATCCAGCAACCCCCTCCTTTGGATCGATTCCCACTTCTATAGAAGAACAGCTGGATGGGTTGTCCCAAAGGCCACATAATTGGCCATCATGGCCCTAGCCAAGGGTAGAGGGATGGTGGATGGGCACCCAGGGGTACTGCCGGCTGCATGCACAAAATCGAACGCAGGGGCCATCCCTGGGCCCCACTTTGGGCCTCCCCACCGGCCGGGCCCCTTCTCCAACAATCTCCCGACCCTTCGTCTCCTCCCGCCCATGCAATTTGGATTGGCGTTCCGTTGAAATGGCTGTCCGAAAAAAACTGAAACATACATTGTATAGAGCCATTAAAGCAGGCGAAATCTTGAGAAGCTGGAGGGCGGAAATTGCAACATCTGTCGTCCAGACTGCCGCCAATATTGCTTTACGAGGAACATCTGGACGGGTTGTTATGATACATGTTGGGACAATAAAAAGCACGCCCTGAGCATTTAGCAACCTCCATCCGATCTGTAGGAAAATTGGCACGGATGACGCCTTAAATGCCCCAAATAACGACAATCGCGTTCGACAGCTCAAAAGCTACAGTAGTTTCCGAATCACGATTACAATGACTTTTATAACTACTGTATTGCTAATAAATACTATACTTTATTTTGCGTTTTGTTATCGCAAGTTGATGATTCAGATACAGCAATCTACGAGATCTGCAAAAGAAATTTCATAGAAAAAAAATTTGTTTTTAATTGTACAATTTTATCATTTGGTGCATGGTTTTGTAGTCAAGAAAGGCATTTATTTAGCACACGCATTTCTACAGTAAATTTCAGGAAATAAGGAATGCACTAATAGACCGGTAAGACATTTTATTATTAATTCGGGAGTTGCTACGGCGTTTAAATCTTGTGGAGGAGAACAAGTACCAAGGCATTTGGCGTTCATACGATGGCGAAAAGCTCTAACATTGCAGGAATATCGATAGAATTCTGATTCTCATAATTTGCTGGTTTTGTTGGAAAGACAGTAGCACCGAGGTAACAAAACTCTATTTGTGAGCTCCCGTCGAAAAAAGGAAATAAGAGCCATTATCACCAAGTTTTTGTGAGTGAGGATTGAAATAATTCTGACTATAGCGAAACTGAAAAATCGACTATTCAAATTTGACCCATCCGTGTCCTGGAACTGTTGGCGGGTTTTGTGTTGGCTGTGGAGTGGTGGGAGGGGCTGGAATATGTGAAAATCATGGGTGGACTACGTTTGAAAGTTGCAACTTTTGCGGGGTGGCTTTTGGCTTACCTCTGCTTTGAAGAGCGGGCCTTCTCAGGGGAATATTCATAGTTGGTGCCGAGCCGCCTGGGAAAATAATATTTAATTAAGGGGTCGGTCTGCTACCGTGGGATGGGATATCGGCAATTGGGCGTTGAGTGGGTCGTTGCGGAACTACCGGTGAAGCACTATTTGCTGAAAAACGCTGGGTTTTTTCGAGTTGTGTATTATTCTCACTTCGCATTGGTTGTCCTGGGTTTATCATACCATGTCGTGCGGCCGCTCCGGCTTGAAATGGACTACCTAACGAGTTTTATTTTTGTTAGAATTTTGGCTTTTTAACTGACCTCTCATCTGTACATTGTGAATGGGCCGTGGCGGAAGCTTTGGTGAGGACCCAGCCGCTAAAAAAAATTAGATTTTAAGCAAGGTTTCTCACTTACAGCTTAAAGAATTAGAATCCGATCTTGCCGAGAAGCCCGAAAATGCATCAAATGGAAATGGTTGCATAAAGGGATTATCTAAAAAATATCTCCGACTTAAAGACATAAAGAGTTACCCTTACCGGGAAATTGGGATGGTGGAAATGTGACCGGAGGACGGGAAGGAAGTGACGGAGAGGCGCGGGCGTCTAATTTTTCATTAAAAACATTAAATTATTATTACTTGGTGGCCCCCTACTGGATGGCTGCGTATGTGAGTTGAAAGTTGATGTCTCAAATTCCCGGATTCCGAATGGGTCCTCTGAACGCAAAAAAAATAATAAATAAATTTTCAGTTAGTTGGTTACCAAAAGATGCTCTAGTCTGCGGTGTTTCAGCCGTAGGAGTCGGATCATCGTTTCCAAAAGTAATTAGATCATACTATAAATTTTATAATCTTGGTTGTTAATTCTAAGAATTACTTACCACTACTTGCTGTTGTTCTGGCTGTCTCGATTGTACTTCCTGAATTTCCTGGATTTCCATGATTATTAAAAGGGCATCGGCATACCTTTGGCCTTTCCGGAAGCGAATCCTCAAACAGCTGATTGTCCAAATTTGAAATCGGTTCATCGTAAAATTTGCTAGCGCCTGGTCGTCCACCGCCAATCTTTAGCTTTCCAAATTTGTCTTTAAAAGTCCCGAAAACTTCTGACACATTATCCTAAATTCATAATTTTTTTAATTTAGACACCAATCACTCACCTGAATTTTTTCCATCGGCTTCTTTGGCATTCCTTCAGCCGTGAACGGTATTTTTTGACTTTCCAAAGTATTTTCCTTTTCGAAATATTCCTCACAAAACTAAAGCTATGAATTAACTATACAACCGGAACACTACCCGTTCCAAATACTGTACACCACCGTCGCCAATGAGATACCGCAGGTAATCCCTCATTTCCGAATCTTTATGTTTTGAGATAAAAAGCTCTCGATCCCAGCCGCTCTAAAAGTCGCATCAAATCCAAAATTAGTGCTGATTACCGGTGTATCCGCCCGTCTTCCATACAAAAACTTGCCAAAAATTTGGCTGTTTGCTTTATAAAACACTTCTGAAAAACCATCGCTCATGCTCATTTTCTTCAGGTAAGACATTAGCATCTTTTTGATCTGTAATTGAAAACGAGGCTTGCATTCACAATGAGACCTACGTCAGTAGGCATCGCTTGATAATCCTGGTCTATTGCTGCAATGGTTCTTGCATCCAAATCAATAATTACAGCTGTATTTGTGCCTTCAGCTTTCTAAAAAATTTGGATAGAATAAAAAAACACGATATGTCATATCTGTATAAATTTTAAAGTCCAAAAACAATACCTCGACTTGAGGTACGACTTGCTTTGCCACACCCATTATTGCTGGCACAGGTGTCCCGAGGAACGCTTTCATATCCGGCGGAATTACTGGGATCAAAAGGTATTGCCTAAATATACAATCAAAGTAACAATATTGAATTTAATAGCTTTTTAAGAAATAAAGTTAAGTGCAGTTACGCACCAATACATTGGATACAACATCGTCGTCGTTGCCAAAACGCAATTCGTAATCAAAGATAGCTTTGAACCCGTAAAAATGATATTCCGCTCTTTCAGGATGCTAAAATATAATTGTATCGTTGTCAAGGAATGTTCCATACCTGCAATATAATTTTATCAACTGATCTGGTGACAATGCGTTCCACAATTCAAGCAAATACGTCTCATCTCTCATCGATGGAAACACTTTCAATTCCGGAGCAATACATTTTGCAACCTAGAAACACAAAAATTTTTAGCTAAATTTGCGCTTACCGGAAGCTTATTAATTTTTGGTAGACTCAATTGTGTCCCAGGCAGTGGTATCTCGGAATGATACGCTGCGCAAAATGCCAAGTCGAAATCCTCGTCCTAAATCCAATTCTTATTTTCAACCGTGCACACCAAACCGTCGCAAAACTCCGAATACCCGAAAATAAATCCAGCATCTCGGCAAAGAATTTACACCATGGCAGCCCGCTAAAAGGCAATTAAAACGTCTTAATAGTAATTCTTACCTTAAGATCACGTAGCAAGTCTTTGTGGCCGGTGACACTCGGCAATGCCCAAAATTGTGTTGCCATCCCTGATGGCTAATGACAAATGTAAAATGTTGTACGGCTTGCGAAGCCGATCTAAAGCTCTATATCATTGATAGTTGTTGCACTCACTCGAAGAAATCATATGGCATCGCGAATTGGGGAATCGCCTTCAAGACTTGTTGATCGTCATAATCCTAAAAACGATTTTTTTTTAAAACTCCTTCTCCAGCTTACTTCCGGAAAGCTTCGAATAATTTTTGGGCCCGTTGGTGTCTGTTGCACTTCGCATAGCACATCAAATAAGGTGACAATGTCTTTTCTAAAATCGGCTGGCTTAGTTTTTATTAGGATCATTATTACCTTAATCTTAGATTTTTCCATGGTTCCAGACTAGGCATCGGCTATACCCTGTTCTATAATATGGATACTTTAACTGTAGCCCTTGACAGATCGTACAAAAACAATGTACAAATAGCAAAAAAAATTGATGATCGCCCAGTTTGAGGCCCAAAAAGCTCGTTTGGGGCCCTTTTAGCTGATGTTTATGTCTGGGGACTACGAGGTGCGCCTATCCACGGAATTTCATGCACTAATACGACCCGGTGGACCCTATCTGTCTAGTTCAACTGACGGATGTGCAAATATGTCAGACCGATTTGTGGGATTTTAAATCGAGTAAATTCAGACAGATGGATCGGAATGCAAATGTGAAAAATGATTTATTCGTGATTTTATCACAACGCACCAACCATCATATTTGGCGACAAAATATTAAAAAGTACAAGCAAAAAATTATAATAAAGTTATACTTTGGTGATCACCCAGGTTCCGCCAGAAAATGGGAGCAGTGTGGCACGAACCCGGATATCCTGTTTAATGCGGATATTCATATTTCGTACTGCTCGCGCGTCCGCAGACATTGTCTCCTGTGGACTCATCACGCTTCCGCCATTTAAAGCCTAGGAATCATACCTTTAAAAGAACATTTCACTATCTAACCTCGTTAATGATCAATAAGCCTCCAGGCCGGGCCAAATTCACAGCATATTCATAGTCGTCCAAATAGTTTTGCTTGCGATAGTCGTCCTAAAGCAATTTCGAACTTTAATTTTTTTTCGGCTACCAGGAAGATGAGATCAAAAGTATTCGGTTCATTGGCGGCCAGCTTTTGCAGGGATCGATCAATCGTATCCCCAGATCGGACTTGAATTTTGGACATTAGGTTGTGCTAAATTCGATTTATATATTCGAACATGACCTACATACCTTCTGCGCATGCTTCATCCCAATCTTTTCCCAATATTGAACGAATTCAGGATATTCTAGTGCCACGATAATCCCTCGAGAATCGATATTTGAGCCAATTCCTTAAAATAGGACTTTGATAAGAAAATTTAAAAACTTCATCATTAATGCGCTTACCGATAACCGAAAGACCAGTGAACATTCCGGCAATGAGGCATCTTGAAGGCCGGAACGATTGCATTAAAGTTTGCGTCAACTGGATCACTTCTGGCGATGCAGAATTTTTCCAGGATAGTGGTGGAGGGAAGTAGTACATTTGCGTTTCCTTTAAAGATAGTCTTACGATATCATCACCCAGTTTCAAAGGTTTTCTGTTAGCTAACAAACCCTCAACAATCCTTGCATATTATCATCGATCATTGTTGAGTGGCTGTAAGCATACTGGAAAACCGGATCCGAAGTCTCGAAGCTTCGGAGCCGAAGCTTGCAAAGCCTCCCAGGCTCTAAACCACTTCAATGCATATTTATATTTTCTTACTACACATGTCACAGGTGCTTCCTTCCTTCTCTTTCTGTGTTGTTGGATAGATTGGTCGGCTAGAAGGGGTGGGTGTCACCTAGAGGTACAGTCCTCAAAGGTATCCACAAATCCACCTTTCGAATTGTGGGTCTTGTCATTCGTTCGCGAACCGACATCAAGGTCGACGTTGTTGGTGTGGTGAATTCCGGAGTTTTCCAGGCGACCCTCGCCCATTGGGGACTCGTTGATGGTTGAGTTGACGTTGTCCATTCCATCTTTTCTTCGCTAAACCTCTGGTTGAAAAAAGCCCATACAAATTGACTTTGGAGAAGGTGGCGGGCCCGAAAGGTTCCAAAAATAGATTTAATATTGAAAATGGTTAATTTTGTAAAATCCTATATGTATGCAGTCATCGCGAGACCATTACGCAGCTAGAGACCTATCAAAACCACCTTTAAACTATATTCTTATTGATATATGTGTTGTAAACCCACTGACGGATTTTCATTCAACCATACACAAATACTAATTTTTTAATGAATACCTAGACTTTGAAGCTTGAGGATAAGGCGTCCACGTCAAGGGAACCGGTCTCCTATAATCATTCAGAAATGAATTGGTCTATTTTACATTGTTGTTTCTTCTTGGGAAATTTGACGTTCCGGTGTTGTAGTGGTAGTTGTAATAGGGAAAGTAGATGAAGGCATCGGTCGAGTCCATACCTGAAATAATTCAGCATATTAATATCCTGCAAAATTCAAATTTAAATTGCTCACACGAGGCTTGATCGGGCCAATAGTCGGAAAGCGAGTGGTCGACATCCAGTGCGGAGTTGTGTAGGGAAATGTAAATTTGAATCCGGGCAGATAAGTCCTTGGTACAACGGGGACTTCTTCTGTTGTTGGGGGTCCAAAAGTATAGACACGCTCAGCGTAGGGCTCTTCAGTCGTTAGTGTTTCTTGAGGAAATTCTACAAAAAAAGTACGCTTTGATCGTTTGCCGATTGGCTCTGAACGGACTATCAGGTCTGGAAAAGCTGCCATTATTGCGTATAGCCAACCTGTCGGAAGTTCCCTAAATGCTTCAGGGATCTCATAATCAGTTCCATTCTCTTCAGGCTCATCCCCCATAAACATCTTCTGTAGATTGTGAAGCAGTTCCCGACCGGCTAAATTTATATTCGAACGTTTTCGCATAAAATATTACCGAGTGCAAAGTAGGTTAATGGATTTCCGGTAGATTCTTGCGTTTCCGGATCGCGACTACCAAATGCTGCTTCTCTAATTGCACCGAACATCGTCCCAAAGTTTGCCTGAATTTGGGGAAGTGTTTAGACATTCAACACAGGATGCTTCGACCCGATAAAACCCCATAACTAATGAAATACCCACAAAAGGTAGCCATAGATTCGCGGTTACTGTCGGAATCACCAGAAATAGCAAGAATCCGGATAACTTCATAGAGCAACGCTGTCGGGTGAGAGAATGTCTGTGGATGATGGTGTGATCCGATGAATGGGTTGGTGCCCGGATTTGGGGTTGGGTCGAGGCGGTTGACAGGGGACCAAACAGAACGACGTGCAACACACGCTCCCCTCAAAAAAACGGGCTTTCAGGTGGGTGCGATATCTCGCTCGATTGCTCCAAAGTCCAACATTGTCCCGATTCACTATCCTGAAGAGGGTTGATTCTATCCTACCCTTCTAGTTCGAGGATTCGGTACTATACTATTCGCCGAGGGAAGGCAGAGAGGATCGGGGAAAACTACCTAGCTAGATACGAGAGTTTTTGTGTGTCTGATACCATCTTTTTATCACGTTTTCAGTAGTTTTCAACACCAAAAGTCAGAGCAACATTTTACAAGATTTGAAATGGTGTATTTTGACGATTTTCATGATTTAATACCGTAAAAGCCAACCAACGGTGTCGATTTTATTATTATATTATTATGGCTTTTATTCTGTAGTCCCGATCTATTGCATTAATATCCTTTTATTAGCAACGCAATCATGTTTTGATAAATCCACGGCAGAGATTACAACCAAAAAAAATGCAAAATACAAATGTTGAAAAGCGCACACACCCGTCAGCTTGGACTTCAACGAATCTGTGAGTGGGGGATGCAGATAGCCATCGGGGCCAGACCGCAAAATACACGGGATTGTAATACGAATGAAAGCAAAATGGCACAGGGACAATCACATATTCACAGGGATTGGCTGTCTCGAAGTGGACAGGAATAAAAGTGGGTGCATAGTTTTGATAAAATGGAATCAGTCATTCAGGGGAGAAAAGAACTATCGCGTCAGAGGGACAATATTGCACAAAGTAGCTAAACCCGACTAGATTTCAAAGTGGAACATGTTAAGGGTAACCATAAGGGTCGAGAAAATTCCCCAACCGATAATTGCAAAGATCCACGCAGGATGGGAGAAGGGAGATTGATGCTTCTTAGGTACGGGGAAGTTAAGTACGGTCTTTGCATGTTGGCGGGCCGAGAGCACGAGTAGACACGGGATGATGAATTGAACACCAACTCCTGGGTATGAACCAGTGATCGCCGCGAGAAGCAGTACCTGAAAATCTGTTTCTAGTAACAAGCTCTTTCATTTCATCATGGATACGGAATGACTAAATAGGCTTTTCTATTCGTCTCTAGCGACGAATTAAATAAAAACGCACGTCATCAGTGAACAATGAGATCATTGTCGGCAATCCCAAGACCAACACCGGAATCAGAAAGTCCTTCGCAGTCACCGTCCTAAAAGAATCTTTCAAAAAAATTTGGTGTACAGTTATTAATTATTCGGCATTGTATTAAAGCCGAGTCTTTCGAAAATCGATGTTTAGCACAAGCCTTAAGGATCTGGAACGCGGTCGCGGTTCTGGAAGCTCGTCGTCAGTCGTTTCAAGCAAGCTTTCTTCCTCAGTGTCTGCTCTGCAAACCAATATTAGTAAAAATTCACACAAAAAATCGAAAATGTTTAGTAAAGCTATAATTGCGCATGAATTTTGTGGCGGTACGCGCGTTCATTGTGCGAGAAAAATCGCTGCTGGTTCAATGCAAGCAAGCCGTTGGTAGTCCGTGTTTTGAAATGTTGATTAGACAATGGAGTTAGTGTGGAAAATTACCTTTCAGTTGGGAAAACCATCTCCTTCATGACTTTAATATTGTTGATCAGAGTTATGCCCACAATCGGGTAGTTTGTGGTCAGCGTGAAGATGGGGAAAAGCACCTAGAAATAGAATCGAAAAGATCGTGACAAAGTTACCAGGAAATGATCAATCATGAAGTATACAAATGACGTATTGTCATCGTGGAAGAAGTTTAGGGTGTATACATCCTGGACGTGCTTGAAAGCGAAGGCTCCAGTCAGACTGAGCGTGAAGTAGAAGAGCAGGACGATGCTGTAGATTCCGCCCATTCCCAAGAATAGACGAGATTTCGAACTGGAAAAATGGTATGATCATGATAGCATGACTGCAAATTATCATCGCCTGAAGAAAATAGTGCCTGTATCAACAAACCTCATTGGCGTGACCAGCGACGGCAGCGAGTGATGGCACATAAACGCGTACACTGTGACACCAAACAGCGAGCCGAATCCATGGAAGTTCGCCATCGGTGGTGATGCCTCCGCCCCTTCCTGCGCTAACTGCATAGACGCCAACACAATCATCAATGAAAACGCTAAAAATAGAGATGATACTGCCAGAAAACAATGTACCTGTCCATCGACTGACGCTGGTAGCGAGTTGCAAATACTTCGTCTTTGTGACCCCAGCAACGATCATCGGAAGGCACAGCGCGATAAAAAGGAAGACACAGAGCCTTAAAAGCCAAGATAACTATTATTTATTGCTTTCCTCACCTATAGACAGTAAATCGGGTGAAGAACAGTGGCCAATTTCCGTGGCAAGGATCGTCATGGCTTACCGTCGAAGTGTTGATCGAATCACTAAACTGAATTAGCGAAACGGCTTAGCATAACGTACCAAATCATATTCATCATGCTCTTGGGGACGGTCGTTGAATAGATTGCCAAGTCGCCGAACAAGTATACGTTCAACGAAATTGCAGAAAATAAGATGCCAGTTTTTGTCAAGAACATGTTAGCCATCGCCGACTAAAAGTAATCTATAATTGAAGGACACTCAAAATCCTATACCACTTCAACCCGTTGTGTGATCTCGAACGTTGAGGGCCCGGCTTCGCTAACGGCAAGATCTGAAAAAATTCATTCGACCAAATTCGAAGCAACTGACCATCATACTGGACCTCCTCTGTTCGCTTCTCCTTATTCTTGACAGCATTTGCGACCGACAGTGCTTCACAGATGAAAGTGGCCGCAATGTAACTAAATAACTTCAAGATCAATTACAATAATCAAACCTGACAGCCGCTGATGTTAATAGAAGAGCAACGCTGAGAAGATAACCGGCTGTTTGAAATGCCTTTGGCAGCGCAAGTGCACCAGTACCGACGATCAGATTAAAGATGTAGAGAAATCCGACCTAAATCCGTTTAACAAAGAGACTAGTTAAAGTTACCGTAGGACTATAGACTTGGTTCGGATCGCTGGAAGTGTCAACCATCTTACCTGAAAATTTGAAAATCAAATCGTCAAAATGACAATCTAAGTTACAAATTTACCGGTTATTCTATGCTACTCTTACTTTCCGAAACTCAAAAGAATGCCTATTGGCGGCAAAATATCGCGCAATGAAAGAAAAACGAAGCCTAGCGTGCCATCCGCCGCAAAATTGATTTTTTGTTCGACCGAGGTTTTTCTGTTTGCCATGTTGCTACAACCCCGCTGACCACTCGACGGTGTCAATAAAATCACAATAACAAATGCCTGTGGACACCGCGGGGAACAACTGGATCAATATTCGCTCACCTAGTTTCTAAAGATGTTCGCTCGGCGGCATGCAATCTCCCGGTTAATCTTGGGCGGCCTTACGGGCCTCCGTTTCGGGGGAGCGATGCTGAAACAGGGTAGTGATAACGGGGGCAGGGAAAGGCTAGACTTTTTGAGACGAATCAACGACTGAATGGCAGCGAATGCCAGGGACAATGGGGGAGGGAGAAGTGAGGAAGCGATGAAACAGTGGAAAACACCTCGGGGCACTCGTCACGCGCCCCTGAACTCTGCCCGGAATACGCAGCCGCTTCCCATCGCCCAACAATCATAATGATCGTAAAAGCGCTAAAGGTCAAACAATTTGCCCATTGCTTATGAGTTAGAGCTCTTTAAAAATTACGTCAGAGGTCTGTCATGAAATCTCTAGCATCCGTAGCCCGATACGTAGCCAAAAAAAAAAACTCAAAAAACCGGTCCGGAGATGACAAGCCATACACCGATATTTCAGAGCCATAGACTCCAACGAGAAACCACCGCAGCAAGTTATTATTTTATCGGCCATTATTATTTGGTATGCAAAAACCAAATGTACAACGTTCTCAAACAAATTACCGATCACAGAGTGTTCGAAATTAATAAAAGCAAAACCCGGTAAATCGCCCGGAAACCCCGCTGGCCGGTTTGGGATTTGCACCCGCAACAAATTGGACTCCAGGAATAAAAACAACAACATTTTAAGTTTAGGTGGGTACATAAATGGAGGGGGATGATGAAAGAGACCACTTCAACCAACGAAAGAAGACTAACTAGATTGTGAAAGGGGATATCCTTGTTACACAGATCCACCAATAGGAGTAATACACCAAATCTGGGACGGATAATGGCTGATTGGTTAGCGACGACGAGTCCGGTAACGTTTCGCTTGTTCGCCGGCCGCCAGCTTGTTCCTCCCCGCGTTCGCTTTCTCGGCGGCCGCCTTGGCTTCCAGGGCCTTCGTTTGAGATCTTGTAACCATTCTTCGTCCTATTTCCGGTCGCTTGGCTGTTCCACGCTAAAATGAATTAATTACATCGGAAACGATCAGTATATCCGGTTCTTGCCGTACAAAACCATTTTCTTAGTATTTTACGTCGGTCTGATTAGCATAGAAAGTAAGCAAGGCTTACGTAAAGCATACTGATAATTTCCCCGAAAGTATAATTGTCATAAAAAACGTCAACGTTATTGAATTTCGGTTCCAAAATGTTTGAAATATGGCCTAAATTGAGCAACTCCTCCAATAAAGATCTGCGAAGATTTTTTCATGATTTTTTGGTTATCCGAAACTATTTTAACAAAAACCCATAAAACACGATATGCAAAAAACTATATAGCCATAAAAAAAAATTATATTCTGTAACAAGACCGGCTTAGGTTAGACGGCGACAATACCGGGGAAGCACCGTCAATTGTATACCAATTTTTACCTTTTTCCTAAGCTTCATAGCTCGTGCTGCTTCTGCGGCTTCATTTGGAGCTTCCAACGGGACAGAGCGCGGCATATTTTTCGTTATGGACTCAAAACTTTTTGGCGGGGTGTCTTCTTCCGGGTGTAGGAGCAACTGATAAATTCTATTTTGAAAAACCTTGTTAAATACTTACGCGCAATCGATATTCGCCGTATTCACAAACAATTGTCTTCTTGTCACGGTTGATAGCGTTCAAAAAGTGCGACGCGGCCAGCCCCGGTTTAATACCCTTGTAGGTGCAGTTTCGCAGAAGAACTAAATGATGTTGGATTGTACGAGAAATAAAATTACCCAGATCAGGCTCCAGCGCTTTAATTGCGTCTTCAAGTCGACCGGCATCTTGGATTTGGAAGGCCAGGTTCACGAACTCTATTTTCGTGATGTTGAAAGGAGCTAGGCCTCTATACAAAAAATATATATACGAAACAGATGTCCTACTTGAGCTGAGCAAGCAAAAGCTGGAAGGTCGTGAAATGCCCCACAAACGGGGTGGCGCCCTCATTCAGGAAGAATTGAATATGGTATCGCATATCGGATCCCATGGAAACTGTGACGCGATCGGAACCTAAAAGAACGACGGAATGAAGGAAAACAGACTTCCAGGACGATTTGTAAAGGTCACTTGACGGGGGGGGATATAACGCGAAAGAACAACAATTTTGTATTTTAAGAAAACTATATTTGTTGTATTGTTTTGAAAAAGCCTTCGGATCAGCAAAAAATATACTAAGCTATTTAATTTCATCCCGAAAAACTTCTTTTCGACGGTTTTCAAGTAATAAACCTGTCAGGTTAATAAAGCAGCAACGTTAAAGTAAGGTATCTAGGGCCGAAAGTCAAAAGGCATTCTATTTTTTTGTTGTTGCTTTCTCCGGTGAACTAGCCAACATCCTGACAGAAAAAGGCCGAAAATGCCCAAAAAACGAACAGCTTCGCAATTTTAGGCTATATCCAGGCCATAGTTTTGTTTCATTAAAAATAGTTTCAATTAGGCTATTTCGGGCTGGAAATAAATCCCGCAGCATCTTATTGGCTGCGCTATCGAATCGCACGTACAAAATTTCGAAAAATATCAAAACGCCGCGAAAATAAAAGACAATATTTGCCCCTCCCCCCTCGCCCAGCAACCTTACCGAACAGTTTAAGTAAGACTTACTAATACTTGCGGAATTCAGAAACATGATTACATTCTTCAGCTTATCGCCTGACAATTCATGAAGTGCGTGAAGTGCAGCCGCAGAAGTAAGGGTTCCATTCGCCCTAAACGAGTTGATACACAGCAGACTTTTTTCACCTTTCAGTTCGAACAATCCACGAACAATACGATCAGTGATAACAAAACTTATTAATATTTTACCTAGGTCGGTAGGAGTCGATGGCGAGTAAGTCGAGCGAATCAAGTCTGGACGGCAATTTGGCGGCGTCAATTTTGTGCCGCCGAGCGATGTCAGCGAGGGTGGGCTTGGGTGGGGCAGAAGGCCTTCTACGCGGCGAACCTTGTTCTTCTGCGTCGACTCCGTCGAATTCTGGGTCTTCAGCCATTTCCTGTAAAATCATTTGTTTAATTCAAGTAAATAGGAGCGGCAGATAAGCGAGAAGGCCAGGAAAAGCCGAAGGAAAAAAACCCCGGAAATCCCTTGTTTGGTGATGGAACTTGGAAAGCTGATTTGGGAGTCCGTTATGATTTTCGCGCTCTTGTGGCCACAGTGGCTCCAAATTTAGCAGATGGCCGAAAAGTCGATAAGGCCTATCATAATATTTGGGCGACAAACGTAAGGACAACATTTCATAGACGCAGCTACCCCGGTCTCATCTATAAGAAGGCCACCAGGCAGATCTGCCACAATCTACATTCAACTGCTACGACTAAATAACAGGATATAATATAAACTCCACTATATTAAAACTATTAAATCTTATGATCAAGCCAAATTACTTTCGCCATCGCTCGATGAAGTCATCTGTTAACTCCAGCGATCCATTGATATGTGTGCGCAAGAAAACGGTGAAAGGAGGATTCTTTCGGAACCGCTCGCGGATTTTTTTCAAACATTTTAGATTCGGGAAAGAAATATGAGGAAAAGCGAGGTCAAAACGTGAGCTTTTTTAGATGATCTTCTCCAAAAACAACAGCGAACAGAATATGATTAAAGTTGTATTGTTGATTTTCTCAATATAAGCAAAGAATGTGCCTTTTCCCAGCAGTGGCAGAACGGCATTTCAATAACTTATTTTGGCACCCAGACAGCTCCCTTCTAGATTTTGGCTTGACTTATAAGGTTTTCAACTCTGTATTTTAAATCCTAGTCTGCACGCAGTCTTTCTTCGTTAATCCACCGTGAAACTCTTATCAATTCCCTGCTGGGCGATGGCTCTGGAAGATACGCGCGCTCGAAAAGTGTCTCTTTCCTTTTGCGCTAGTCCACTGACCATTGGCTGTAATTTATTTTTCCAATTTAGATGGTAGGCCTCAGGCTGATCTTCCATTTGGTCTCGGCTGCAGCTTACGGGTACACGGCCTGGTACGATGCGAAGATTGTTCCTGCTGAATTCTGGCCGATCAAGGGCGTCTTCCTCTCGAAGTTTGTGTGGTTGACGGTCATCGATTTGGTACGAATTTATTTTAAATACAAAAATTAAGCTTGGTTTAGTATCTCCAGCTCTTCTATCACCTTTGGGCACTCGTCGCTACTTTCTACCCGAGCCGTAGCTTCCATTATTTCGCCAAAGTCATCATCGGGCCAATTGGGATGGTAATTTTGCTAAATCTCCAACATCGTTTTAGTCGGTTGTCTCGTTATTCTGGACGCTCTACTTCTTGGATCCTGACTTCCTGCTCCACGATGAGAATGCACGACGTGTGATCTCTATTGCATGGTTCAACCACGGCTTGGTATTGGCGAGCGTTGTTTCAGATAATTCTTTTCTTTTTTAGCATACTCTACCAACAGTGACGATCTTGATAGACCTGCTGCTTTGGAATCACGGGCGTGTGGAGAAATCATCTGCCTTCAAGGGACTTCTTTCGTTTGCCACGCTCTACATTATTGAGTGAGTTTTGGCTTCCTGAAAATGGATCCTGATCCGAACGGTTAATGACAAGTATTTTTGTTACTGCCGTTAAAAACTACGATTTATTTTCAGCATCCACTATGTTCACTACACGACTGGCTTCTGGGCTTATCCGATCCTGGGGCAACTGTCTCTCCCGTTGAGGGCTGCTTTCATCATAGGATGCGCCTCAGGTAACTTTTCATAGTTGTGCTGCAAACCATAATTTAGTGTTCTTCGTCAAATTCGTCTTCTTGGATGCGATGTCGGCCACAGCCCACGCACACGATGCTGTCGAACAAAAGAAGAAGGCCAAGAAGCATTAATTAATTTTCGCTGCGAAATTGTGCACATTTTTGGAGACTGTCTGCCAGGCTCTTTTACGAGCAATAAAACTATTTAAACGAAATGTTAGGATGGTGAGGAATTTCCCCGCGCAGGAACAGACCTTTTGTCGCGCGCCGCGGCATTCATACCCCAGTCACCTTGACCCAGGATGGGATCGATTTTTGGATAGGCTTTACTGAAATATTCAACGGCCCGACCGGCTTTGCGAGCTTATAGGATTTACAGAATTCTTTCGAATGATCATTTTAGACATGATAGCAAGCAAAACAACTCGAATTGGCTTCCACGCCACCTCGATGGTGATTTGGTGGGGAGCACTATATTATGACATTTACCACTTGCCGCGCATTGGAAGTCCAGTTTGGACGGATAAACTAGTAATGCTCACCAATATTAATTTTGTGAGTTTGTTGTGCCGGAATAAGAAAAGAATATTTAGGTTTTATATGTCGCATTTTCGACATTGTCCTTACTGACGGCGGTAACGGAAAGTGCTAAATTTCGGAAATTATCTGACTTTTGTTATTTCACCTCCATTTATCCGGTCGGAACGGTGAGTCGCCCAAACAGCTTATATTTGATTGGGAAAATAATGCACTAATCGGCTGATATTTTTGGTTAACTGTTGGAATGTAGCAATTTCAGACAACAGTTTTCCTTTTCTGGGGACTTTACGCTATCGAACCGGAACTTGTGATGCCCGCCTGGATCGCTGAATTGATTCCTGGATGGCTGAATCATGTTACTCACACATTTCCGCTAGTCTACTTATTACTCGGTGATCAATCTCATTATGTAGAGACTCCAGAGCGTTTATTTTCAGATCTATACCTCAATAATCGTAAGCCACCCAGCCTTCGCGCCACTAGGGTTTTATCGGTCCTGCTCGTAGCGTTCTATTTTATTATGTAAGTGCTTCTTGATCAGAATACCCACTCTGTATTCAAATATCAACATCTGATGTTGAGGCGTTTTGTATAATTTGATGGGTCCTAAAACCCGATGGGACCTGAAAATTTCAGTATCTTGTGGGTGCGTTGGCGGGATGGCTATTGGCTCTACCCTGTTTTGGGCCTGTTTAATCCACCAACTCTTTTTGCTGTCTTCTGCGGTGCTGTGCTGGGTTATATGGGACTTTGTTATACTGCCCGAGTACTGGCAGCATCATTACATGGTGAGTGGAAGTAAGGTTTCTTAAGATAGCGAATATTTTTTTGTTAAGTAGCCATTCGGCCTAGAATTTTTTTGCTGAACACGATTACACTGTTGAGTTCGGCCTGAAAAATCGATTTTTTTTTGTTAGAAAATGCGAAACGTGGCCAAAAATACATTAGAAGATGTGTATACGGTTTTAACGGGTACCCCAAACAAATAGTATTTTTATTTTCACTTTCCCATCGATTTATGTATACTGCGTAGCGATTTTCTCTTGTAAGCAAGTCTTTTTGAACTCTTAATTTCAAAGAATTTTACAATTTTCCCTAGTAAACAACCGTATCGCTTGATCGCCAAATTACCGCTTCCGTTCCCAGGCCAATCCGGGACTTTCGGGTCTATTCTGGGAGGCAAAACCACCCCGTAAAGCGCCGGAAACGAGAGAAAACTCAAGGTTTTGTCACGCGACCTTAATTACCACGCAAATTTAGGTGTCGATGCGGGGCCGAGGGGCGGAGGTGCGAGACGGGGGGCCGGGCACAAATCCCACTAACCACAAGACGCCCGGCCAGCCATTTTGAGATCGATACCACCGGTTGTATTCCCGTGTAATGTGTATGGAATAAAACGTGAGAGCGTGTGGATATCGGCGCCCGAGGAGAAAAAGACACGCGTAGAATTTTTCAATTTTGGGTCCCAATGAGTTGAATTTTTGCACAGAGGCGCGAGAGGGTACTTAAAATGCTCCTGGAAAATTGCAACCCCGCTCACTACAGTAGCTTTTAAGTTATTGCAAAAATTAGAATTCTCCCCTCTGGTCATTTTTCCGCATATTTTTGGACTGCATAGATTTGCTTCGGATTCCAGCTCGAAACACGATATTTCCACTAAGATTGCATATTTCCAATCGAAAAAGTTGCAAACGAACAAACGTTGCAGGGCAAACAGAGTCGACGCCGCATTTTGGCTATACATGGCGACGCCCAATTCTGGCTAAATCCCTGTTAAAAACGCAAATTAAAAAAACCTGGTTTTGGGCAAGAACTTAAAAACTGCCGTAGCTGAAATGAATCTGAAATTTCGAGCATTAAATACCCTTTGGTACCTTTATACAGAACTTCAAATCCTTCGGCCCCAAAACGGCCAAATTCCACCGGGGTCTTTTTTTTTGGGGCACGCTGTAGATGTTTATGCACGTTGCCGTTGTCATGCCGGGGGGATTTGGCCATGTTGGCTGATCATAATAAAGTGGAAAGAGGATAGAAGGGAATAGATGGATGGATGGGGGGGCTGTGGCACCCGGGTAGAATGCCTATTTGTACAGACCGCTAGTTTGCTGCCGGCCCCCCTTTCTGCCGATGGTTGGCAAATTTGAGCGCTAGCATTGCCGGCACATGTCTCCCCTTTTCTGATTCTGATCCAAAGGCTTCCCGAGGCCAGCGTCGTTTTTTTAGAGCTGATATTCATTTGCGCGAGAGTTTGCAGTCTTCCTATGCGTAATAGAGTGGATTGCCTATTTGATGATGGGAGAAGCCTTGCATAAAAAAACACAAAAATTAAGTTCAGTTTTCTTCGAAACTACTGGTGTTTGTCGGGTAATAAAGCAAAAAAAAACAACAAATTAACGTACTGTAAAATAAAATAAAAATTCTGCCACGGTAATCAAGAGGACAATGGCGTACCGCGTGTCACCTCCTTGCTGCGTTACCCCTAAAAGCTCCGAGTCACCATTCACACTCTACGTATTTTTCACGCCGGCGCTTTCAATTGTTAATCCGCGCCGCATCCCTACTGAGCATTGATCCTAAAAATGCATGATCTCCCATACCTGGAAAAGCCAAATGCCGATTTCACCCTCTGTAGCTATAAAATCTCCCTACAGCTAATTCTCCCGAGACAAGTCTCGTTTCTTGATCCTTCGTTCCAGACCGTCCACCGAGCACCCCTTGTCAATATGAACCAGTGACCAAATTTTCTCAGGCTTTTCTCTGACCAATCAGAGCTTTGTCACCTTAAATAACCGAGCAGCGGGATCCGGGGAAAAAGTTTGATCGACTCTCAGCTGAGGGAGAGAGCGAGAAATCGTTCCTCTCTACAGGAAAACGGGAGGAGGGGACAGCGACATCTTCGATTTTCTTTTAAAATTCAACTAGACGGTGAGAGAGAGAGAGCGCGCGAGAGAGAGAGAGAGAGAGAGAGAGAGAGAGAGAGAAATGTCCGTTCGAGCGAATCTATCCGAAGAGTGCCTGTTGTCCGAGTACGTCTTGCATGCCTTTGTCATTTTTTTTAGCTTACCGTTTTAGCCTATTAGCAATTCAGATCCTTACCATTTAATCTGATTGATCTGAATCTAATTGATTTAATCGATTCTGTTTTTTTTCAGTTAACCACCTTTATACCTGTTCGAAAAGTTACCAAAAATAAAACCAGTGCCGATTTTCACTATGACTCATACCCAAAATGAGTTTTATTATCCAGCCAAAAAAATTGCGACCGTTATCGACCCAGCCCCGCCATTCCATTCTGTCACCTTTATCGCCGAGCCCTTGGAGCGGGGCTGGAAATGTAAACAGCAATGAATGGATGGGATGGGATGGGCGAGGGCAGGCTGGATCCTTTCCAATATTACCTCATTCTCACAATTATCTGGCCTCTTTCTCCTCGATCCTCTCCATCTCACCATCCTCCAATATCTAACATAGCCATCACCTCGTTCTATCCCCAATTGTTGTTCCTCGGTCATTTTATCTACGCGCTTCCCCCTCCCGCCGGCCTGGCGATGCTGAAATGGCATCGGGGCGATCGATTTGGCGCAAAAAACGGCCATAGGCCTCCGTTAAGTTTTCAAAGCTCTTTTTTGCAGCTAATCTCTTGTCGGCCGCGCAAAATAACTCTCCAGATTCCCAGGATTTTCTCAAATTGATTTAAGTTCTCGGTGGTCGAGACCATTACTTGATATTTGTCGCTACCAGCCACTTTTCCTTTTTTATGAGCTCAGGGGTTGCCCAGAATCCAATCTTGTCGAGACTTTTAATTTCGTTTTTTTGGCCGTTCCGTCAATGCCTGCGTTTCTCACGGATTCTCATAAACAACCCCCGTGACCCCGAAAAGAACCGCGTGTGCCCGGAACAGATGCTCTCAGTCATCATCAGGTGCCCCAACGCTTTTCTTTCCACAGGTTTTTGACCGGAAAGGGCATTTTTTCAGATGCGATTCTCAGGTGTTTCCGTTCTAGATATCTGTATGGTGCTATTTCCGGCAATATCGTGGGAATGGATGGCTTCTCAAAGTAGGAATAGAAAAACGCTGAGGCTCTCTTGAGTAAAAAGACCAATCAGTCATAACTGCTCTAATGTTATGAAACCATAACAAGATTTCGTACCCACTCCTGACGCGCTCGCAAATTTCAAGGGCTGCTGAATATAAAACTCGGAATTTCTCGAAAGTGTGTCATCGGATTGAAAGTTGGGTGTCTGCTGTAATACGTCCCAGCTTTCATTTATTTCTCTGAGCCTATTGGGTCGTTAATTGCTGCTTTTGCGCATGTCAAGACGGCAGGAAGGAGGGTGGCATAATTATTTTTGGATTAGCCGGGAGTGGGAGCGCAAAATTTGAGGATGTGGGCTACAAATGAGGATTGATAAAGCTTAGTAAACCTTTTTTTAAACGCCTCTTTGAGGGTATAAAATTTATCGTAATAAGAGTTTTCATGAAAAAGGGTCATGAAAACCGTTTTAGATATGGTTTTTTCAGATTTTTTCTAGTAAATCTTTTGAAGCGCTATCTATGCCATTTTGAAAATCTCGAAATTCCGGAAAAA